GGCAGCACTAGAGGCTGGAATGTCTGAACATGTGACAGTACTTTGCCCATGGGCTGGTTCTTTACATTTATTTTTTTTTATACAGCAGTTGTGTGTTTATTACTCAGCCTGGAGCTACTTAAATAAATTTGAATAAAATCCATTGTGTTAATTGCCTGCTCTGTATGATTAAGCTGCAGGTTTTCCCAGCCCTTGCTATATAGTAAGGAGTATTCCCTGCTTGAGTCCAAATTGAGGGCTCAGATCTTCCTGTATCTTTGTAACATGGGACTGAGGGAAGCCCAGCTCTCACACTGCCTTCAAGCTTTGAGGAACACACAAATCTGTTTAAAACTCCAAAGGTTAAGCTATTCTCTGTCCTTACCTGGTCATCCTCCATGGAGCTGTCCAAAGGAATGGGGGAAAGTGTTGCCCCTTCTGTCCCCAAGGGCTGTGCACTCCAGGCCCTGCTCCAAGGGAGGGGGGACAGTGGCTGGGAAGGAAAAACTCTGTTAGAGGGGTAGGAGACAGGAATCAGCACAGTCAGAGGAAACAGGACCAAAGGTACAACCAACTGTCTCACCATGGAAGCAGGGGCTGGGTGTGATCCATTATTTCAGAGTTAAATAAATCAATGTCACAGCCCTTCTGAGCTGCTCATACAGGCAGCTGGCATGACTGGAAACAAGCTGCCCTGCTGGGGACTGGAGCAGATACACAGACTTCATTTCCACCCTGTTTTCTGATGCCTTTGCCATTTTCAGCTCCCAGGCTAGGCCTTTTTTCATGTACCCTTGCTGTGCCACCTCTCCATCACTGGCTGCAGGGAGAGGAGCCCACAGCCTGGAGCACACAGGAAGCTGCAGGGGAAAAAGACCCATTTCAGTGGGAAAAGGCTGTTAAGATCATGGAGTCCAACCACCTAGCAGCTCCCAGCTTGGCTGTGCCTCACACACACACACACACACACACACACACACACACACATGCAGGCAAGGGAAAGTCATGGCACAGGACAAGGCTGGAATGGGCAGCCATCAGGAAGTGTCTCCAACCCTGTTCCCAACCAGGAGCAGTTTCACCTTTGTTCCATCCACAGTTCCTCCTGAGGGTTGGACAGAGTGTGACTTTGCTCAGCAAGTCGGAGGAGCAGAGCTTTCATTCATGGCTGTTTGAGCAGCAGCTGTTTTATTTATGCTGCCAAGCAATAAGTGTTGGCTCCCAGCCACATCCTGCTCTGGGGACGGAGCAGCTCCAGCGGCTCAGGTCCGTCTGCCTCCCGCGCCTGGCGCTGGGCATAATCTGAGCTGGGTTTGGGTAGTCTCAGCTGGTGGAACCAGCAGCCCCCACTGCTGCTGAAGGCTTTACAAGGGCTGGGCATTGTTTCCTCGTTTCAGTCCAACTGCCTCTCAGGGAAAACCAGCACTACAAGCACATCGGGGCTCAGCTGCACCGGTGGCTCCCTGCTGCTGGCAACAAAACCTCATCCTCCTTCACCTGGCAGACAGCCCTGTGCCATCCCTTCAGCTCCACCTCCTGCTGGCAGGAACCAGCTCCCAGCCCAGCAGGGAGCACCCTGGGGAAAACCAGACAGCTTTACTCGTGCTTGGGTCTGCTGGAGTCAAGTCACCCCAACAGACCTGTTTTCCCAGTTTGACATTTCCATGCATTGATCCACTTGCTGCTTCAGTGCCGGGGCCAGAGGATTCAGGCCAACTGAGCTGGAGGTGAATTTGGTTGCTGGGGCAGAAATCCTCCTGAATGAACAGAGTTTAGAATCTCAACATAACTCAGACTTAGGCATCTCCTCCTAGCCCAGCTCCCCCATTTGTAGCTGCACCCCTCCAGCTGCAGGAGCTAAACCCCAGCCCACAGTCACATCTGGAAGAGGTAACACACATGGGCTTCACTAGGCTCAAAGCCAAAACAATCCAAGTGTGACATTGCTGTCTCAAGGGATGGTCCTATTCTCACACAAAGCCTACAAGCCACCACAGCCAGAGAAATAGGGGATCAGACTGACCCACCTCCCTCCTGGCCACAAGGCAAGACAGTTAGGGTTGATTTTAAGAGAATTCTACTGCTGCTTAGGGGCGTTCTGCTCAGCAGCTCCTGCTGCCAGAGCACTGAGGCAACACACGGCTTTTCTCCCTTCCCAGCTCAGCAGTAACTTAAAAATTTCACTTTCTGGCTAAGATGGGACATGGATCATTCCAGTGTTCTGCAGCACACCCACCACACATCTAGCAAGGAACTATTACAATGACAATTCATGGTAGCCCAGCAAAACAAAGCTCTAACTACACACAGTGTGTTTTTTGTCCAATGTTCTAGGAGGGAAAACAGACACTGCACACCTAACTGTCTGAAATTCCCTGGCAAATCTGCTTATCACATGCAGTGATCTGAGATGGCTTCAGGTCTAGCAACACACTGTGCCCCTCACAGTGAAATGACATCAACTGCTGCTCTGACGTGGGCGAGGCGCATTTGCTCCTGTGCACATGGAATCATGGAATGGTTTGGGTTGGGAAGGGCCATAAAGCCCATCCAGTCTCACCCCCTGCTGTGGGCAGGGACGCCTTCCACGAGCCCAGGTTGCTCTAAGCCCTGTCCATCCTGGCCTTGGACAATGCCAGGGATGGGGCAGCCACAGCTGCTCTGGGCAACCTGTGCCAGGGCCTCCCCACCCTCACAGGGAAGAATTTCTTTCCCATATCCAATCTAACCCTGCTCTCTGTCAGGCAGAAGCCATTCTCCCTTGTCCTGTCACTCCAGGCCCTTGTCCAAAGTCAAGGAGCCCCACAACAAACTGATCCCTGAGCTGTTTGAGCCTCCAGTGCATGTGACAGTCCCAGAGGCAGGGACCGTGTGTCGCACGCTCCAGCACTTCCAGCTCTGAGAGGATTTGCTGCTTCTGGGCCCATGGGATCTGGCAGAGGATAAAAGCCAAAGAGTGTAGGACAGGCCCCACATCCCTCATCTGCTGAGCCTTGAGCTGGCCCCATCGCTGGGATGAGAAATTAAACCGGATTTGAATCACAGGGGTGAGGAAAGGGAAAGGTAGCAAACAGTACATTCCCACTGTCAGAGCACACTATGGAGCCAATCCCCTCTGAGCATGTTTGTCCTCAAGCATCTGGTTTGATGATGAGTCTCAGATGCAGTATGGGAACCATCAGCCTCGTCTCACCCACATGAAAGAGGAAGGTTTAGCATAAAGCTGGTCATTGCCGATGGTCCCGGAATGATTCATACAGAGAAAGAATGTGGTTTGGGTTTCGGGTTAATTAGCTGCAGATTTCAGAGAGAGACAAGGCAGGGCGGAGCTGCTGCAATATTGGTATGAGCACAGCTCTAAAGGCAACACCAGCCACCCATCCTGAGCTCACACCCTCCCCGAGATCACACCCTCCCTGAGCTCACAGAGCAGCGACAGCCTTATCATTGCCACTGCGAGGCAAGGTGTTTGCAATCCCCAAGGAATGTCTGCCCGGCTGTTGTGGCAAAAACTGAGCACAGCAACACCCACACATCTTTGAACACCGATGGCTGCAGCGGCACCAAGTTTCTAACAGATGCAAATGTTGCCCAGGATTTAAACTTGCCTCTACTGAGCTCTGGGCTGCTGCAGCTGGGCAGTTCCCAATGGGAATCTGTGCTGCAGGGAACCCTCTGGGCTGTGTTAACCCTGGATCTCCCTGAACCCTGCATCTCCCTGATCCAGGCTCTTCTGTCTTTCTACAAACAATTCCTACAGGTCTGACACATGAATTTGCAGGAGAACACAGTGCAGCTCCTTGTAACTTCTCTGCTATACTGTCCCTCTCTGCTGCCCCCCACAAAATCACTTTGATTCCATTTCTTGCTGCTGAAAAGTATTTAGAGATGGACATGGGAGTCACCGGCCTTGCTCTGGTGACACAGACATGAGGTCTGGAAGCACAGAGGCAGTGACTGCACCACAGCTCAGCTCCTGGGAGCTCAACGGGGCAGAGAGAAGGAATATTCTCCTGAAGGAAGCACAAGCAAAAGCTTCTACACACACACAGACAGACACACAGACTGTAAGACATCATTCTGTCACGCATCAGTCTGTTAGTTCCCATGAAGACCAAGTTTTAAACACTGGTCTGCCTAGAAGTGTTTGATTATTGACATATGCTGGAAAAGTAGAAAAACTGACATTTTTCCAGTTGAGTTCCAGTTTGTGCTGCAACGCGGATGTCACATGGACTTCAGAGACTGACAAATGCTGCCTGATCCTGTACAGAGAGACTCCAGGTCCCCCAAAGCTGCTCCGATAAGCCCCAAAGGCAGGGATGGGCAGACAGCCCTGCTGGCACCAGCACCAACCCTGGCTCAGAGTTCTCCTCAACACTGGCTGCACCGCAGGATTTTGATGATAAAATTCTCCCTCTTCCTTGAGAGCACCAAACCACATCCCAGTTCTCCCACTCTCCCCAGTTCTGCATCTGTTCTCATCTCCAGAAATGATTCCAGATTACAGTTCTTGGGCTCCCTTGCCAGTGTGCCACGAGTGGGGATTTCACCAGGAAGCACAGCACCAGCCAGAGGCTGCGGGATGGTGCTGGCAGGTAGGGCTGCCAAATTGGCACAGGCACCAGGGAGAAAGTTTCTATTTTTGTTATACTTGTTCCAAGGGGGAACCGATACTGCCTGGGACAGAGCCAGGCATGTCTCAGGCTGGCACCTTGCAAAGCACCTCCACACTAATGTAAGCAACTCAACTGAGTTCACTCTCTCACCAGTGAGTTCAGATGCTTGGGAGCACCTGATCTTTCCCTCAGGTGTTCACCTCTCTGCCAAGGGCTGCAGCTATTGTTATCCTCCACTAAACACCTCTCATGCTCCGTCCTCTTCTTTGGAAAATCATCGGTTTTCCTCATATGGCACATTATTTCTGTCCAGGGCAGAAAATGAGAAGCACGTGAGAAGTGGCAGCTGCTTTGATCTTCAGTTCAAATAGAAAATAATAAATAATTATATAAAGGCAGACAGTTTTTAAATGTTCTTTTTTTATTGCTAGAAGTTGGTTTCAGTCCTATTGCAGCTTTGAAATCCTTCAGTGGAGAAACATTGCAATAATTGTAAAAATCATCATTTGGTGTGCTAAGATCAAGTTTACAATTAATCAAGAGTGCACAATTCAACAGAATATTAACATTTAACCATCAACTTTACAAATAAAATAGACTACAAAGATGTTGCTACTGCAGTATCAACAGTAAAGGAAATATTTACAATGTTTACACCCTAACAAAAAAACAAAACCAAACTCTTCCCCAACAAAATGGTCAATTTAACCATGGACCATGATTATTTATTAAATCTTTACAGTGCAAGGTGGGCCTAGAAACCAGACCTAAGACTAAAGAGCATCAAGAGAGTTCACAGCTCTGAGTGAGATGCACGCAGCTATGCCAACAGGATCTCCATCCGTGAGAGATTTCCTTCCGGGCACAAACAGAAATGGAATTTGAAATAAACTTTTCTAAAGTGCTCCAATTGCTCTCAGTACAAAAATATAAAAAACTGATTTATAAACATGGCACAAATGTTATGAATCAGAGCTCACACAAATGCTGTCTGAAGAAGGAACATGCTGATGGTGAGTGATGAAGTTGCCAGTGGTTACGGAGATGTCGAGTCTGGTCTCAGAGCAGGGGAGAGGCTTGGCTTTACCTACAGCACATGTGTAACCTGGCATCAAGATTTGTTTCCTTGTAGATGTGAGAACTGCTGGGGAAGACAACAAAATCTCCAAATTCCCTCGCACAGGGGCACAACACACAGGGACTCCACTGAGCAGCACCAGGGAGCCACAGCTCCCATTCTGCAGAGTTAGAAGAGAAACAAAATACGGATTTTTAACCCTTTCCTAGTTTAAGCTTCAGCTTTCATCATAAATGCAAATGACAAACACCAAGCTCCATGTATGCAGGATCATCTGACTATTACTCAGCAAGACAAAACTGCCTGCAAATTATTTAGAAATGGCTCCTACCTGTGCAGGAATGCAAGTACCTGGATGAGCAAGCAACTCTAGGAATACCAATTCTTCTGCCTCATGCTGGGGGATGATGAGCGATCTCAATTTGTGGGACAGGCCACAGCTACAATCCACAGACAGCACAGTTAAAAACTAGGGAAGCTTTCACAACACACACAGGGCAGCTGTGCTCAGCACTAGTGACCACGGAGGGATCCTCAGCCTGGAACACAAGGATGACCACATTCCAGGTGGGAAGAGAAAGAGGAAGCCTCCTTTACACCAGCATCCAAATTGAAATCAGAACCACAGAAACAGCCTCTACTCTGCAACAGCACAATATTAAAGGACAAACATGCTGCTAATTTTAAGGCTGTGACACCAAGCAAACACGGTGGCAATTCAAAGCTCACGCTGGCATTTCCTCCACACCCCAGCTCAGGGAGAAGCCAAAAGGCACCTGGGAGGCACAGAATTTTGAACTGTCTAATCCTCAGAAATCACTTAAAAGAAAACTTTTATCTGAAGTGATTGAAAAGTCCAATGGAAAGGACGTGACTCAGAATCAATAGCAGGTTACTTAGCCCAGGACACAGCAGTATTTTGCGAACTAATTTGCCTAGAAGAGTTATTTTTCTAGGACCAAGACCTGAGCAGAGAGTCCAAAACAAGTTACTCAGCTGGAGTGGTTTGATAACAATTTCACAGATTCAGTTTTGCACAAGTGAAGAGGCTTTTTATTCATTTAAAGAAAATCATATTTATGTAAAGAAAATAATTCACTTGCTTCCCTCAGCCTTCCACGAATCACCTGCCTATGCTCTGGTAGGGTAACCCTGGACTAGCAATGAGGTATCACAACACCTGCTAATTCCAGAACCTTCTCTAAGCTGGGTCCAGTCCCAAGCAGGAAGCCACACCAATACCCATGATCCACACCCAAGTGAGAGAAGATGCTGTCTCAATTCTGGGTGAAAACAGGTTTCATAAAGCCAACTGCAGCCAGACATGTGGACTGAAGTCAGAAAATTACTTTTAAGGTCATTTCCCTATTACAGATTGAAGACCCATATTCCAAGGGGCTTTTGGGGTTGAAAAACGGCCTGGCCTGTCATGGGCCTGGGTCCATTTATTAACAGCCAAAACTTATTCAAAGTACTGCTGACAATGAGTATTAATATAATTATGTTTAAGTTAAAACATTAAAAGAAATGAGACCTCACTGCAGACTTTACTTTCCAGATGTCACTGTTCTACATTCAAATTCATCCATTGCACAGAAGTAGAAAGCAGACAATGAGCTGCTCCAGCCATACTTTAGGACAGGCACAAAATTAAACTAAAGAAATGTTTCCAAAAATTGTTTCCAAACACCCAAACTGACATCCTTTTTAGTTGAGGTGGTTTATTCCACTGATGCAACTTAGCTTTAGGCTAAAACTCCTAAAAACCTGGTAATTTAAGGCAAAGGGGGCACTGAGTTTTCACTAGGAGTGGCCCAAACCACAGCATGAAGGGAAGAACATACAGTGCATTCCTGCTGCTTCCCTGTGTGCTTCCAGGAGAAATCACAGGGAAGCAGAGGTGACTGGACTGTTGGATCTCACACTGCTGGCTTGATCAGAAGTTACGCTGATTTTAAGAACTCCCCTCCATTCCAATCTAACTTTTAGAAACACAAAACTGAATATAGGGTAGAATTATGTTCTAACCAACACTGTATCACAACAACACAAAAATCACCATGTGTAAATTTTGCAGTGCTGCTGATTTACCAAGCAGTCCTTCACAGCAAAGTGTGCCCAGTTTCACAGCACTGCTTTGTTGGAAGCTGGGGGAGCATCCGCAGTGTGGTAACGAGCCACGTGGTTCCGAGTTTCCTCTCACTGAACTCAGTGCCATTGCCTCAGGTTTGTACCAGTATCACATAGCAAAGAAAAAGACCCTTAAATCCAACAAGTGTTCCAGCAGGAGTGCTTGTCCCAAAGACCAATTCACTATTTTGTGGCTTATCTTTTCCCCTGACCAGTGAATTTAGGTTTTTTAATTTCTCATTTGAAGACAATAACCCAAATTATCACCACTTGAAAATAAACTCTATGTTTTCTGCTGAAAATTTATAATGTTTCTTGCACTGTAACTACTGCAATAATTTTTAAACTCTCAAGCAAAGTGAAGTTACAGCCTTAAAGACATTACTAACATCACACAGGGCCTAACCAGAGACAGCTCAATGATTTGAGACTGGCAAACTCCATTGGATCAATTGCCATGGATGGAGAACTGACCAGGCCTTCCATCCACTGCTGCTAAAAATCACTTTAAATCAGAGTGGAAGATATAAAAATAGTTATTATCAATCATGCTCAGAAAGGTATTAATCCAAGTTTTTAAGCTCTGAGATACTGATTTCTTTAATTCTGTAACAATACTCCTAAACAATCTCTCCCGTGCATCATAAATCTGACCAGCCACATTCAACATATACCAGAATGCACATCCCTGGGTGAGGTGTGTAAAAAGGATCTGAGATACAGAGTGAAAAATACAACACAAAACAACTGTGCAAATCACTACAAAGGAAAATAATGCCTTTTCAGCAGAACATTTACTGTCATCACCATCGCATGATCAAGAACTGACCCATTTAACAAGAGGTATCAAAGCTGGTTTAGCTAACAGCAGCTAAACACAGGTTTAGCTAAGAGTATTTTTTTATTATTTTTTTTTTTTAAATTTTAAAACCAAACAGTTTTTATTCCCTTCATTCCTAACACAATGCTGCAGAGAAGTCTCTGCAGTAACAGCAGCTTTGATATCTTCTGGTACTGGGAGTAAAGTCCCCACAAATTAACAGACAAACAAAAGATGCAGAAAACAGGATTAAACAAGACAATAAATTACTGCATTCAAAAGCTTCTTAGACATGTCTTCAGCTAAGAGCAAAATCCAAGTCTCTAAGCTCATTCTGAACCAAGCCATAAGTATTGCCTGGGTACCTGCACTGCTCTCATCAACACAGAGATAGATCCCAGCCCATGCTGGTAGCCAATGAAATATGCATTCAGTCCAACTCTTCATCACTGCTGTGAATCCTCACATGTCCAATCCTCCTCCTCCTCCTGCCTTGAAGACGCTGTCAGAAGCTCACCTTACCTTCTCTTTCCCTGTACCTGGCCACTAGGCTGGTCCCACTGGGCTCACAGTGCCTGGTACACCTGGCTGGAAGGAGACTGGCTCACTGTCACCTAATTACCAACAACCCAGTACTGACCTGGACCTGGACCTGGATCTGGGAAAACAGATTTCAAAATATGCAGCCATTCTGGGGCCAACTACTAAAACTTTTTACATAAAAACCTGTGTGATGTTATCAGTTCAACATCACTGATAACAATTCACAAGATGGTGCCCACAAAGAGTGTACATTCTCCAAAAAGAGCACATTGCAATAAATGGCAGTATTTTTTACCATGCTCTGAATTGATATATCCATGCCATGTGTCAATACATTTCCATGTTTGGAGAATTTGAAAGCAAATTGTTACTACTGTGCCCTCATTCTGAGCTGCTGGCAGAAAAGCCAGGAAAGTAGGAGAGTTAATCCTGGTCTGGTCCTTGCTAGTAGTAACTGGGCAAGGACGAGAAGACATCCATGTCGGGTCTCCATCACGGTGCACACTGGGGCCTGAGTTCTTGAAACAGTGTGTCAGGAGATTCATCTTTAAATGGAAACAATTAGAAGAAAATTACATCTTCTTTGCTGGTATCATCTTGCACATTCAACAGACTTGGCTGAGAGGTCACCAGGGTCTGAACCTGAACGTTATTGGGCTTGAATAGGTTCGCTGAGGCAGGTGAAAGTGCTTCTGGTTGAGCATCTGTGGGGCCATACAATTCTAGAGGAAAAAAATGGAAGAAGACACAGTCATGACACTGCACAGAGAGCCCGAGGCATTCCCACAGCCAGGCAGGTTGGTTAAGACATACCTGGCTGGAATGCAGTGGTCTGGCTGCTCGGGAGGACTGGGCTTGCTGACCGTCTGCTTCTTAGGACACCCTCCTCTCGTGCAACAAGCCTGGGGGGAAGCAGCTGCTTCTGATCAACAGATGCTGAAGAAAATATTTTATAAATTAGTATTTGAGGTGAGCAGTACCTCACAAACCTCACTGTTTCATGCTGGGGCCCACTGTACTGACACCTTATACACCCAAGGAAACTGTAATACCACAAAGAGCTGGTCCTGCTGTTGCAAGTTAAATTTTCACTTCAGCTGTTTAAACCATGAATACTTTCTCTCTCCTCTTCCTTGAGACTTCTAATTCAGTTACTAGCAGCCCCTGACAACCTCAGATTTAAACCTCAGTATTATCAAGCACAGCAGAGAGAAAAAAATCTTTGTAGCATTCAAATAGCAAATGGCCATTTGTACTACTTCTAACACACAGAGCTGTGATGAACTTTTGTCTCTGCTCTCCATCTGTCTCACAGCTGCTCAGCAGCATAGCACATTGATTCTGCTGTTACAGACTCTCAGTTTCTTAATTCAACAATAAAAGCAATTCATGAAATGGTTATTCTGGATCCAAAGAACTTCTCTCCCTCTCTCAGTATGCATTCCTTACACGTCACAAAACCCAAATTCAATACACAGCACTTTGCCTCTGGTACAGAAGGTTTTGTTCCATTTTATTCTGAGATCTACACATGGGCATAACCAGCGTGCAGCCCACTAATGCTCATAAGAGAATAGAGACCAATGTATTTGTGGTTTATACCTTTCATATAAATTACAGAAAAACACCATTAAGTACATTTCCACTGCAGAGACCATTACGTAAAAGCTATTAAAAATAAACTTGGGGAGATGTGGTATTGGAGCTTTATTTACCATGCAGGGTAAGAGGATATTAGGCTTCATTTACATGCGGAATCATAATGAAGTTTGCAACTGCACTAAACTTCAGGCATGGTAGAAATAGATGTTTCTACAATGTGCCAAAGCAGTTCCCCCTCCCCTCCCTGACAGCTTTGGCCCCAAGTCTGCTGTAGCAGTGCAGGCCCAAGTGATGGTCAGACTTGCCAAGTCTGAATCCTACACAATACTAAAAAGATAATTTTATAACTTAAAATTACAGGCCATTCCCCTAAGCTGGCAATGAGGCTATTTTAAGTGGTAGAGACAAAGCAGTTTTTACTGCCTCTGTCATTGGCAAAGACCACTACTCCAGTACCCAGCAGTCAGCAGCAGAAATTACACCAGGACAGGGTGACTGTATTTTTACTTGCTTCTATTTGTGACAAAATTAGCCCTTTCCAACTCTACAACACATGCAGCATCCCAATTCTGGACTGGAGATCTGTATTTAATGACTGACTGGTGCTAAGAAAGGCACTGCATTCAATGTCACTACAACTCTGGACAGATAGTAAGGAAAGGCTAAGCCAGCCTCAAAACATCTCACTTGTGCACAACAGCTTTTCTTTGGTTTTGCTGTTTCCCTTTAACACTACAGTTAGACAAGGAGATTTTACATCCAGGTGTACCACCTCTCACCGTCATTCTGTCGTGCTGGAATACACAATTCCATTTTCAACATTATCCCTTTGGGCTGTATTTCTAACTTAAATAGCACTGACATATAAATCCTAACATAAGGATTTTAAGAGGTTAAGAGATTTTAACTGCAGCAAGCACACTAATAACATGTAGCATATTAGTTTCTGGGTTCCACATGGGTATCCAGAGGTTTAAACTGCAGTGTTCTGTCTCCTTGTGATGCTGTTAGAGAATCGAAATGCATTTAAATGGATTTAAATACACACATACCTGAACTGTCTGTCCTCTGAGATGCTTTGTTCTTCCCACCTTTCTCCTTGCTTCCTTTTGTAAAGGTGGCCAGCTTGGTAGGGATCTGCTGCTGGACTGCAGCTGGTTTCTGGATCTGGTTGGTTGCACTCAAGAGATGTATTGGCACTTCATTCTTGAGGGCCAGAACGGGCCGGTTCTCCAGGGTGGTGCTGTCCCTGCGGACCAAGTCCGGCCGCTCCAGGTAATCCAGCCCAGCCACACTCACTCTCACAGAGGATTTCAGCATAGGTGGAGAGGGTTCTACTCCTTCCCCGTTGAAGCTGATGGAATGACTCAGCATCTGGCTCTGTGTGAGGAAAAAGGCATTTTAAGTCAAATAGGGGTTTTCACCCTCTCCAGGACAATAAGGAGAGACCGCCCTCAGCCCTGAGAACATGAAGCACTTCCTAGTGAAAAGGAGAATAGATAAGATGAAGCCTGAAGCTTGCTGGGAAACAGAAGGAAGAGCAAGAGTGTAAGTCCTTGGGCACTGAAAACAACCTCAGCAGCTTCAAACTGCTTAATACTGCACGTAGGAAAGGAATGCAAGAGCAGACTGCACTGAGTGATGATAGGATGGAAAGCAGGACTTTCAGATGGTATCAAAGAACCAATTTAATCAGACTTCGAAGTTCCCATTATGAAACACTGGAAATGCTTTCAGAAATCAACTGTACAAAATGCTATAGATGTTGCACAGCTCCTGCAATCACTTGCCTGCAATAGGGCAGTTGCTGTATTTAGAAAATCCTCTGTCAGTCACAATCAAAAATAACTTATTCTCCATTTCTATCTTTAAAAAAAAATATATTCTCATTACCAGAGATTTTCTGGTAATTGTGGAATTTCACAGACTCTGGGGAACTGCCAAGCTCTGATCTCTCTGACAGCAGCCACCACCAGCTATTTCAGGTGGCGGTTCAAGGAGCCCAGTAAAATGCAAAAATGGGTTAGTGCTGTAACAAGTGCAACCTTTATTCGGAAGCAAGCAGGTTAACAGAAATAACCCTCCAAGAAAACAAATTCCTCACCTGGCCCATTTCTGGGGAGAACGTGCCTGACACTGTGTTCTGCTTCTTCAGCTTCCTCAGCTGATCCAGACGCTCTTTTTCTTTCTCGACTGCTCTCTGGGCTTCCCTCAGCCTCTCCAGGTTGTGCTGATAGGCTTCTTGCTGCCTGTCCAGTTCTTCCCTGTCCTGATTCACCTTCTCCAACTTCTGCCGAGCCTCCTCCTCGCGCTCCTGCAGTCGAGCTTCCCTGATTTCAAACTCCCTCTGCTGCCGACTCCTTTCCCGCTCCAGGCGCTGCTGCTCCAGCTTCAGCTGGTTCTGAAGCTTCTGGACATTCATCAGTTCTTCCCTCTGCTTTTCCAAGTTCCTCTGTTTCTCCTGCTCCAGCAGCAGATTCCCTCGGGTGGACTGCAGCCGGTATTGTTTCTCCCGGTCTGCCATGGTGGCGGTGGCTCTCTGCACCTCAATGTAACTGTCCTGCTGAGATATCACTGCCTGGAGGGGTTCAAAAAACATGCACAGCTCAGCAGAAGACAACAGCATCTACCAGGTTAGATCACCGAGTCTTTTGTCTTCCAGAGCAGATCTAAACTCCAGCTTGTACAGCCCATGGTGACTGACACAATATTGAAGATGGCCAAGCAAATAAATTATGCTTATGTGTGTCAAAGTGAATGTTTCTTGCACCTAGAATTGTTACCCCAAACCAAATCAGGCAAAATATTGCTGATTACAAGGCTGCAGCAAAACCAACTAATATATACACACATGGATATCAACAATTTAAAGAGGAAATGAGCACATGGAGCAGATGGAGCTCAAAGCAGCAAAATAACTAAGTGGGCAGGAAAAAGGAAACAGTTACTTCAGACAACAGCTCTAACACTTCCTTCAAAATACCAGACACAGTGTTGGTTTCCTTGAATCTCAGGTCTAAACTGCACTTCATTCTAGCTTTAGGGGATATTCTCAAGGTAGCTCCTCTCCACACCTGCATACATTTTATTATATTTAATGCCTAACAAATCTCTTGGATAGCAAACAGTGGTTTACCTGAAGGCTGAAGAGCAACTGTAACAGTGTTTGTATCCTTTGCACAAGCTGAAAAGGAGGAAAAAAAGCATTAGGCACTTAAGCAGAGCTGTTTGGATATATTAGACTTTAAAAAAATGTCTAAGCAGTGAAAATAGCCCATGGTATCTGTACAAAAACACATGCAATGGAAGCATGGCTACCAGAGACACAGTAGCAGCCAATACGCAGGCACAAGGAATTTCAGTGTATTATTCTTGTGCAGATGTGAATCAGTGCTCAGCAACTCTCCTTGGGATTCCACAGATCACTCCTCACCATCTTCTCTCCATCTGAGCTGTGTAACAATCACTTCCTCCCATGCTTCAGCCCTGAATCGCTACACAGATACAGCCCTCACAGGAGGCTCAGAGGCCAGTTTGGTCACAGGGCTGGGAACACGCAATTGCTCCAAAGATGCAGGAAAAGTAGTCATCCAGCTCCTTGAAATGTGTGCTTACATCCCCAGAACCCATCTTTGGTTTCTGTCAGGACTTTTATCTTTGCATTCATAATGTGTTAGAGATACAGGCTGTTAATCTGCTGGAATCTATAGACATTACAAATAATGACTTTTTGGCGGGTTTGTTTGGTTTTGTTTGGTTTGCTCTTATTATAACATGGCTTTTTGCCATTAGATTTCTTAACAGCAGAAGCAACCTACCTGTGCCTCTATGGTAGGCTGAAAACCACTGCTCTCATCCAGCCTCATTCCATCACTCTGTAAAAAAGACATAGAGACACATGTTGGGCACTGGCAGTGCTGCCAGAATAAGCTGGAAGGGTTCGTCCCATGAGGGAACAGGTACTGCTGGAGCACAGATTCCTCCCATGCACTGAAGGACATACATCAAAAATACTGAAACCAGGGGCCAGGCTGGAACAGGAGCATGGTGATTAAAGCCACTGTTAATGGTACAGCATCAAACAAGCAAATGGAAAAGCGATTTATCTTGTCTCTCGAGTGCTAAGCTACCAACTTACCCCACAAAGCATCCTTAATAGAGCTGAGTAATTTGACAGACAAAACTGTTCCAGTCCAGTCCTGCCAGCTATCAGGATTTTTAACTTTGCAATATTTGTTCTGCACCATTACTATGATGAGGAACACAAGGAAATGCATTTAAATCACTCATAAAATCAACATACGGTTTGAGATCCTTCTTCTGCATCAGAAGGGAGGTCATGGACTTGCACATCTGAACTTGCTGCAGGGGCTCTCCAGTCCCACTGTCTCTGGTCACCAGCACTGTTCTTCCTACCACCTGAAAGAAGAGTGGAGTATGAGGAGCTTACACCAGCACAGGGCCTGGGAAAACTCAGTGAGTAACAGAGTAAGCAGAAAAACATAGTGAGTGTGAAGTCAGAACCAATACACAACTGCATGGCTTCTCCATGCTGATTCCAGCTGGGAGACAACAGTGGACTGCTCAAAAAAGTCTAAAAACTTGAGGAGAATGGGTTAAAATAAATTGGGACAGTAAGTTCAAATTACATTATACTATTTTCAGTCAAGGAGCCACGATGTCTGCATGAAAATAATTGGCTGTGGCTCCCAGAATTGCAGACTCATAACATGGAATACTGGTTTAGTAGGAATATTCTATTCAAAGCAGCACCACTGTGAGTGTGGAAGGAGGTAAAGGAAAATGGAAACTATGTTGTAAAAAGTACCTATGTTATGACACATACAGAACATTTCAGAGACAACAGAAGTATTTTAGAGATTAATAATCAGTGAAATAAAGACCATTTGGTTTTTCAATAAATGCATGAAGCAAAAATGGAGATAAAGAGTATCTAGTCTTTCCTCACATTTCATTAATTAACTGATAAATCATCTGTGCCAAAAGGACAATTTATATTATTTAAGGATTCAGCAAACCTCTAGTGACTGTGCAGATACAAAGTGGGAAAAAAGTGTTCATGACTCAGTAATAAAAGCAGACAGCTGAATTCAAATTTTCTAGGTTTTCAGGTCAAGCTCATTTTTTTCAACAAAATTAAAATTCTGTGTGGAATTGTGGTAATTATAAAATATGGGTTAAGGCAATAAAGTATGGGTTATGCTCTTAGCATAACACTGACAGCCCTGCTCTGCTCTCTAGTGTTGGTATCAGGAGTAAGAAAATCCAACATGCTGCAAATTTGCTCTGATCCTCATTTTAGAGCCAGGTGAAGCTTCCTTACATAAGAGCCTCAATTCCTTGTTCTCATTCTCTGTGCAGTGAAGGCATTAAAGAGCTAAGGAGCTCAGGAAAATGCTGAATGGTCCTTTTCTTACTTTTACTTGAAACTGAGGGACTACTGTCATGTCCTCCAAAGGTCTCTACTCTCCGGGCGAGTCCTGACCCAGAGCCATCCTCAGGCTGACAGGATCCACTGCCAAAGTGAGTGAAGATAAGGTCCTGGAGGTTTTCAGCTAGGAAAGAGGAGAACGTGTCATGTAAACAGCCATGTCTATGCTGCCATACAAGTTGTCATGCTAACAAGTTTAAAAAAAACATTTAAACCATCAAGTCCATTAAAAGATCAGGTAGTCAGAGATGTCCTGCAGTACAGATGAGTTTTTCTTTGAGATTCGCTCTGTATGACAGGCTCTTTGTATACGGATGAGCTCTTACCTAACTGCAAGTTAAGATTATTAAGCCTTGAATGTTTGGGTTTTCTTTTTTTTTTCTCTTCAAAAGAGAAATTATGCTTGTGCTTATTTTCTTTCTAAATATACTATCTTTAGATAGGCTATTTTTAATATATAACCCTCCTATAATATTACATTTCAGGATTGGTGTATTATTAGAGCACTTAGTTACCCTTTCTGAACAGACTCATCCCAAGACTCCATTGGTTGATCCTTAACAAATAAACCAATCCAAGCTGTGAAGGTCTTCTACCTAAATTCACAAGTGCACTTCACCTTTCTTGTAGATTAGTTGTGAGAACAAGGAAGTCTGAACTATGTTACATAAAAGTATTATGTTATTACAGGACGGTTTTCAGGACCTGCTGCTGGTTCCCATCCCTGCACCTGAGTGAATGCCTCCACAGCCTCACATTCCATCTACCTTCAGTCACTGCAGACTTCAAAATCGTCTCTCCTTGCAGGTTTTCTGAGATATCTCCCCGAAAAAGCAGCCGAGCTCGGGATCCTTGGGAATGGTCTTCAAAGCCATTCATTTCAGACATTTCTGCATAGATCTGTTGCTTCTCAGTCAGACTTTGCAGAATCAGGTCGTCTTTCATGTTCAAACGCTCTAAAGGAAGAAACAAATCCAGTCAGAGTACACTCCCTGTAAGAGTAGAGTGTTCAGTTTGGAAGATTATCACTCATTTTATGATCGGAGATTTAATTAATTAAATGCAGAGATATAATTAACAGTTAAGGGGAAAACCTATGGAGCAGGTAGAGCTTATTAGACTCTTTAGCTACTGTTTCTATATAATCTTACACCATTGTGAAAGACTTATGAAGGAGAAACTTGATCACATCATGTGATAAAGAATTAGACAGTCATAAATCACAGACGATGCTGAAAAGCAGCTCATGGAATATATAACTAAGTCTGAAAAGCAGCTCATGGAATATATAACTAAGTCATTACCTTGAAAATCTTTTAACTTTGCAGCTCTTGCTTCAGCCATCCTCCTCTCTGCTTCAGGTTCATTAAATGTTCCTCCTTCTTCATCAGGACAGCTGTACAAAGGGAAAGACAGATCTATGCTTGATTTGCGCATTAGATGATTTAAAACCATCTCAGGATTCAACCTGAGATTCAACCTTTTGCCTTGGATCTGGTTTATCCTGAGTGTCATTCTTCCTCCTTTATCCAAAGCCCTCTTGCATTTGACATCTGTAAACCAAATTTCTTGTCTCTTTTTTTTTTTTTTTTAAAGATAAAAGCAGAATAAAGTCTTTGACTGGTTTTTATTGCATCTTTATCAGTAGCTTCTTCTCAATGAACACAAACAGAATCGCACACTAAAGTCTTAAAGAGAAAGTTGAGGGAGAGTGTAATGGATTTTTAAGATGAATTTACATCTGAGTGCTGCAAAAAGAAGACAGATGAGCAAGAAATTAAGCCCTCCTGCTTTCCCTCCTGACTTACCTTTCCACAGCCCTGCGGATGTGTGCCATCCAGGAATTCCTCTCCTCTTTGGAGCTGGTGTGAATTTCATACATTTCTGGTCCTTTTAAGGAAGCACTAATTAAAAACATTGCCTTTTCCTCATTAGCCACCTCTCTCACAATCAGCTTTTGTAATGAGATAACTGGTGGTTTAGAGTCCTGCAAAGTAAAATATCATTTATTGCACTACATTATTTATGTTCTTTAGGATTTCTGCTTCCTAGCTCCCCCCTCTTCCCACTTATACAAACCCACCAGGAGCTGCAATATCACAATATAACTCCAACCTTTTCACATGACACTTTTGACATTGTTATTTTTTTACCATCAACCATTGATGAAAATGTGGAATGAAGAATGTGCATGTCAACACCTGATCGAACATTAAACTGTGTGTCAATTTAAACACCTGAGGATTCCCATTGGGTCCCAGAAGTCAAGAAAAGGCTCAAAAAACTTTGCTCAAAAAGAGGCAGATGCAAAATTTGAAAAAGAAAGCAAAAACCTAAATGACACCTGAAGAGAAAGAAGAGACCAAGAGGAAGTGTTAGAGGTTCGAAGTAGGCAAGTTAGCCACAAAAGAAATAAAATCCTAACACAGAGGTGTTACAGAGTGTCACGCCCTGAGAACAATGAAACAAGGTGACAGATAGCGTATTGTATAACGAGGATCAACAGGATTAGCTGTCAGTCTTTGCAGGGAAAAACACATTTACAGAGGGATATTAAGTTACTAAAAACCTATCTAGGCTTTTTACAGCATAAGTCCAACACATGTAGCCTAGAAAGTTCCTTCCAGGATAAAGCAGCTCTTTGTAACTGCTGAGCCTTCACAGAATAATCTAGAACAGTCAGGAACTGAACTGTGAAGAACATCAGGAACACTAGGTTTTTCCAACTTCCCTGAGCAGCTGCACTGCAATTCCAGCCATGAGCAGATGTCACTGGAAAAACAGAATCACTAAGCAGATCCATTTGCTCCTCTCACTTGCTTGATTTATTAATGGAGAAGTAATATTAAATTTCAATTGAACTGTATACATAAAAATATGCAAAAAATTGGTCAGACTCTAACTGTAGAGTATGTTTCCAGAGGGGAAAAAAAATCCACCACATAGCACCCTGTTCTGTGCATTAGGAGAAGGGTAATTTGAAAAGCAGTTGCTTTTTTTTGAGGTCATTAAAATAGCTTTTGCCATTAGAATTCAGCTTTAATGTTAATGTCTTAAAAAAAATACATTCAAGAAAACAATTACATTACTGGTTCTATTACAGCCATAACTGAACTAGATCAGAACAAAATGTACACAATTAACTGCTCTGATGATACCTGTGGAAATGCCCTGGGAAAGCAAGTGAATCCACTGAATGTTTTAGAGTGCTGCAGTAATATCTGCATTTCCTGTGTTTCAGGAAAGTTCTCTGGCCCCAGTAAATCTCAGGGCACTGTGACCACGGTCACCACATCCCTAATGGAAATGACAGATTCTTTCCCTGCACATTAAACAGAGGCAGGACTTATTTACAAGTGACTTTCAAAGCACAGTTCTGGTGTGTGTAATGTCTATGACTTGTACAAAACCTCAGCCTAAAAAATTTAGTGAAAGGGGAAGTCGCAACACAAGAAGAGGAGAAGAAGAGGTCTGAGTGTGGAAATCACAGGAGAAAACCACTGGAGATGTGGATACAATGGGCTGATGCAAGGGAACACTGGTTTGCACTGGGAGACAGTGGGAGGGATTCAAGAAGGACCAGAACTGCCTCAGAAAAAGTGATTCTTAACAGCTGGCTGATTTATTAACCTAATTTTCTTTCTGAACCTCTAACAAGTATCTACCATCTCTAATTGTGTTTTTTCTGTAGTTACTGTCACTGCCATAAATACTTTAAGTGGATCTATTAAATAAGGAGAACAATACCTACCACTGATGCAAATGTGTATTTTTGGTCCTTTTCTTGTAAGAGCAACAGTACGTCAGTTAGCAGAACTGCCAGAATATCTACAGTAACAACAGAGACAAGAAAAATCAAAAGAAGTCACATTTTAAATCAGAAAGACTGGTCCAGACTCAAAAAATCACTTAACTTATATTTCCCGTGGGTCAGGGAATAGCACATCAACATTTGCAGTATTGGGTCTGCTACTGCCTTTCACCTGGGCTGTTCACACTGTTCAGAACCAGCACAGCACAAATAGAGCTGATTTAAAGCTTGAAAACACCTACACAGGCATCCTACCCATAGACTCCAGCACGCCAGAGGGAATGTGTCTCCCTCAACAGCAGATTCTTCTGGAACTGCAGCTGTTCACAGCACCACCTACTCTTGGCTGAATTTTCTGTGCCACTGAAGCTTCTCCTTGAACACTTGAGCAACAAAGTTGTTCAGATATTCCCTGGTGGCCCACTGTTTTGATTTTCTGGCAAAACAGGTATTATGCAGAACGAAGGTGTCATGGGGCTCACACGACACAGGTTTTGCAAAGTGTGAAGCAGATAATGCCTTTCCACAGGAGACTAAGTCAGAATGACTCAAAGCTTTGTCATCCACCTGAAGACCTTCCTCTTGAATTGGGAAGCAGATCAGCCAGATAATAAGCAAACAGCATAAGGAACTTATCATGCACCATTGGACAAGCCAAGAATAGAACAAGTGCTATTTCCTCCAATATCCTATTAAACAAGCAGGTTATTGTCATCTTATTTTATACCCAATCGATCAGTAATAAACAGTTACTAAAAAAAAAAACAAACAAAACCAAAAAAACACCCAACATAAATCTTGTTTCCCAGTTGCATTTTCCCCCTCCTGGTCCTTTACCTTTGAGTCTCCCTGATGCAGCTTTCCAGTACAGCATCCCATCCAGGAGGAGCCTCCTCTGTCCCATGTCATCCTTCCGGAAAAAAAGCCCATTCTTGCATTTCCCAGATGACTTCACCTCCATTTTGTGCATAATCTCCTTAAGTCGCTGCCCCTTCTCACACTCATTTACCATGGCATCTACATGAGTGATGGTGTCCTTAATTAAACTAAGGGCCTGGGTCAGCTCTTCATAATCTCTAGTTCCAGCTAAGGGAAAAGAGCAGCAGTCAGCCACATTTCCAACTTTGGAATGCAAGATAAGAGCCATCCAAACATTTTTTTAACATGCAGGTTCCATACTGAACATCTAACCGTATTTCCTAAGAGCTTAAGTTTAAGAATAAATTAAAATAAAATAATCTCTAATAAACCAACACGCTTGACTACTATGGGTTTGTGGCTGCAGACTTTGAACGCTGTCCTTCTCCAATGAGAAGGAGCTGAGAGAATTGGGACAGTTCGGCCTGGAGAAGAAAAGGCTTTGGGGTGACCTAATTGCAGCCTTTGAGCACCTGAAGGGGGCCCACAAGAGAGCTGGAGACTATTTACAAGGGCCTGGAGTGACAGGACAAGGGGGAATGGTCTTAAGCTGAAAGAGGGCAGAGTTAGATTAGGTATTAGGAAGAAATTCTTCCCTGTGAGGGTGGGGAGGCCCTGGGACAGGTTGCCCAGAGAAGCTGTGACTGCCCCATCCCTGGAAGTGTCCAAGGCCATGTTGGACAGGGCTTGGAGCAACCTGGGCTAGTGGGAGGTGTCCCTGCCCATGGCAGTGGGGTGGAACACGATGATCTTTAAGGTCCCTTCCAACCCAAACCATTCTGGGATTCTATAATTCTCTTGACCCTCTGATGAGGTGAGACTGCTCTGGATCCACACCTAAAACAGCATCTTCAGCCAACAAAGAAGTGAGAAAGCAGTTACCAGACTGTCCCTGCTTGTGTGAGGAAAGAACATGCAAAACATGGCAGAAAAGCTATCAACAGACAACTGTGAGGCTTCTAGAAAACACTCCACCTTCTGTGTTCTGAATGATCCGTTCCACCAGCACCGGGTACTTGGTGATGCGCTGGGTCACCAGGAGGATGCACTCCTGGACACCGAGTCTCCTCACAATGGGACAGTTCCCAATTTTCTAGAAAACAAGACACATCACACTCATTGTACATGTTGCTCTTCTAACTTCCTCTCCATTCACATGTTTTCTGTTTCAAATCATTTCTGTACATTAGGCATAACACCTCAAAATTAGCCGTACTCTTTTACTAAGGCAAAATTCCTGACAACACTCAAAAAATGACTTTTATTGCTGGAAAATATTTTAGGTATTTTTTTCAACTACTGTTAACTAAATGTGGAGTCAAGCAGGGAAAGTTCCAAATCTGAACTGTGTGACTGCCTATTGCTAACTGATTGTCTCTTTTTAAAGGATCAGTCCTTATATACATAGAATAAGTATTTTTTTAAAACCAGACACACCCACCTAACAGCCAAATTAGGCCAATAACAAAGAAATTAAGTCTCTATTTTACCACTGTATGTTCCCCAGCAGGCTGACCTAGAGAAACACATTCCTGTTTAGGCAGGGAGGACTGTAAAGCATAAGTTAGTGTGGTTGCAGACACAGCACACATCTGGCAGGAGAACACAGTACCAAGATCTATCTTTAAAAAGACTGAGGTTACATATTTTAAAACTCTGGTCACTTATTTAGTTCATTGAATTTAAAGATGTCTAGTTAAGATGAGCTATAAGTGTAGAGCTATGCTGGAAAGTTCACACAGTATCACTTACTGGTGACTGGAAAATGAGAATATTTACACCTCTGCAGAGCCATAAGATTCAGGTTACAGCTTCTACTTTGACCATACCTCTTCAGTCCTTCCTATTACTTGCACATTACAGTGTGCAGCAGATATACAAACAACCCAGGAGCCAATCTTCTGGGTTTATAAGGATGATGTCGTGAGCAAAACCTGACTAAGGGTCCCTGCTTTTTCTATACTAGCTCATCAACAGCATTTCTCATTGATTTAATTTATTATCAAGCCAATTTATCACGATGGCCACGCAGCAGGGCAGCCAGAGACAGAGCCATGAAAACAATCTAAAAATACAAGAAGCCAACAACCCCTCAGACAATGAGAATATGCCTCCCACCCTGCTCATTCATATTTAAGAGATCTTCAAGTACAAAACAAAGCCTAAAGCAGTGAAGTATATTTTGCATAGTCAGAACGGGAAACCTCTGGTTGTTGTTTACCTTTATTAAGTTTTGGAATTTCTTATTGCTTTGGAGCAGGTCTTTATAGTGACTAACAGCTTCATTGTGTCCACAACAGAACACACCGTATTTTTCTTTCATTCTCTCCCCATTTTCACCTGAAAACTAATCGGAAATATAAAAATCAAAGACATGAGTCACTCAGACTAAACTTATCTCCACTACAAACTCCAGGTTGTAGTGGTTTTTTAACATGCTTTATGGTGACTGATTTCTGAGACATTTCTCCAATATTTCAATTTCTTCTGTACCAGAAATAAGATTTATGCAGTTCGACATGTAAGAGCTTGGAATACCAGAAGATAACCAAAAATGAAATGATTGTAATTATGAGAATTTTTTAAAGGATTTCTGGGCCTCTGCACTTAAGAAGTCTGAGGACTGTAAAAGCTGAAAGGCAAAAAAGGGATCATGATATAATGACAGAAATTTTTGCATCCACTCCATGTAAGAATGGCGCTAAAGCTCTCATGAGTTCAATGGATCTTGACTGCATTTTCTAAAGGTTAGAACCAAGAAGTTTGGCATTAACTGCAGGAGAGCCATGTTTGGGATGGACACCAGGAATACGTTACTTTCCTTCTGGAACAGATGAAAAAGAGAAACAAAAAATCTGCAGTCACATATCCCACAACACGTATAAGCACACGCCCAAAGAACATTCAATGAACATTTAATGTTATTTGTGATGATATATTCCTGGGAGTTATGCTCCCACATTGCACTAGGAAGATAATCTTAAACCTGGGATGAAATCAATCTTTACATAACATCACTTTACCCTTACAGTTAGCTTTTTAGGAGTTTCATAGTGTCAACATCACTGGTAGAATTTAATTCACACCTGTTTTACCAAGAGGTCCCCAATGTTCTGGATTATATAATTCTGGTCACTGCCTTCTTCCAAGGATTCCTTCCGTCGCTCCTTTAACTGGAGCAGGAATTGCCCGTGCATCTCCAGCAGCTCATCCACACAGGGAAAGAGCTTGTTGATCACTACATTTGGGAACTGCAGCTCCTCTCTCATGGCTTTGGAGTACACCTTCAGCATGATTTTCAGTGTTCTAACATGGTGCATTTCAGTCTGCATTAGTTCTGGGCAAGGGGAAATACAAAAATAAAATCAAAAAGTCATTTATATGCCGTGCAGTGACTGCTGAGATGTAAGAGCAGGCTCTGAAACCCACCATCATCTTCTTCACCACAGTCTTTGCAACACTCATGTGAAGCTCTTAAATTTGCCTTGTTAATGTCCCAACCCAGCAGTGACTGTCCCCGCTTATTTAACGACATCTCCCAGTGGCTGTTGAGCTGCTCCCTAATTGTACAGCAGGGCTTTGCTGCCTATAGAGGCACACTGAAACCTGTGGGTTGCTTAAAAGCATTCACAGAAGAAATTCTGCACACTAAGACAGGTAACAGACCTGAAAATCTTCACGTGGTTTTAGTTTTCAGGCACAAGTCAAAATTGGAGCCCATAAGAACGATTTCTGCTTTGTTTCAAAACAGTGGTACTATGAAATAAGAAAAAGTTTTAAGAATAACAAATAACTCTTACCATAAATGACATCTTGCCTTTTTTTAACATTTTTGTGTCTATTTGCATAAGCTTGTTCCACTGCAACGCTCCAAGACTCTGCCTCAAACTCATGAGCATCTGTTTCTATTTCACTCCGGAGGGACACAGAATACGCATCTAGACCAAAAGCACATTTAATTTCAATTATTATTGTTTCTCATCATATCCTTCATTACCATCATTAACAACAACAAGAATAAAAACATCTCAGTGCTGCTTTAGGACTGTGTAAGAAGTTGCATAACAATCCTGAAAAGCACAGAAATTCCATACCTTCCAGAAAAATGGAGTCTGCTGTTGAAGGTGCAAGCGAGACAACGTCATCTGAAGTCTGCTTAAATTTTATAAAGCCTGAATCCCCTTCATCCATGTCTCCTGCAATCAGTCTAAATGGCCAAAGAAATTAGACCAAAAGACCAATACAGAACATTTACATTTTTTAAGTTACTTGACACAAAAAAACCCCAAAACAAAAACAATCCAACTACTTTAACAAGCATCTTTCCTAAACTATAGTGCAATTATCTTACAGTGAACAAATAAAAGGCATCATTGCACTCTTTAGACAGTTAAATCAATTTAGAAACTCCACCACTGAAATATTACAGTTTAATTAGAGCAGCATCAGCAGAGTTTGTAACTTCTGATTCGATAGTTTAAAAGGACATCACCTGGTGACAAGGCACAGTTCAGAGTACAAGGGGCACTATCACTGTGAAAGGAGCATTACTGGGACATAGCAAAAGTAAACAGCTACTAAAAACAGTTGATAGCTTTGAGTTAGTCTACTATTTTCATCAGGGTATTCTGCAGTTTAAAACACTGCTGTCTCCTATACCAGTCCCCAGTAGAACAACCTAGAATAGCTGAACTCAGAGGAGATTCCTGAATTTCACAACAATTCCCGACAAATGCATCCACGAAATAGATCATTTAGACAGATACTCAAATACTGCCTTACTTGTAGGATATCTTTTGTCACACAGGACAGAGGAACTAGAGACAAGGTGATTTAAACAAAAAAAAAAAGCATATTGTTCACGGAAATAACTTTCAGCATTAAAAGTTCAATAAAACCCTTCTGAGCCTGAAAACCAATGTTCTGTAACTGCTTTTCTTTTCACACTGGGGAAGGGGGGCAGCAGCTGAAGCCAGAGAGTTAGAAAAGAAGCAGTTTACTCACCCAAATTTACTAACAGCTCTAGCAGCGTTCAGTGAAGCCTGAGAGTTCCCTCTCTGGGCAATAGTCATGCCGAGGTTCCGGGACAGTGCTGGGGTGCCATCCGCTCCCAGGAGGAGACTTCGGGGCTGCTCTTTCAGGGAAGTGGCTAAAGAGGCAAAAATGGAATTGGTGCTCAGAAAGTGAGGCGGGCACTGCAGCTCGCCTGCCCTCAGCCCTCGCTCCGAGTGCGGCCGCAGCACCGACAGGATCTTGGATGTCAAGAGCTCATTGTCCAAAAAAACATTCTCATTCCATTTTCTTGAAAAGGAACCACAAAAAGACAGTTCGGGATGAGCTGGAATCGCATTGCTCCTGCCGCTGCTTTTTGAATTTGTATTCCCCATGCTCACCACTGGCTGCCCTCAGACTTGGCACAGTAAAGTGGCCCCAGAGATGCTCTGTTTTTATACTACCTGTGATCCTTCTAGAAATGTAAAGCTGCCACTTAACTTACTGTATTGGCTAAATCAGCAGGTCTGAAGTGCAGGAAATTGGTCCCTACTGTGCCCATTTAGTGTGGAAATTGCAAAGTATCTTCTCCTTTAGTAAAACACCAGAACCTACACACAATTATTCACACCCCACCGTATAAGGGCATAGAACATTTCATGGCAAACAAGAAAAATCAGAGATCACAGAAAAACCACAAGTTCTTTGCAATGCTTATTGCTCGCAGCAATTTATATCTGCATGCACACACACTGCACATAACAGATACCAGAGCTAAATTTAATTTTAATAATGCAGCTTTTTAATGCTTTTTAAATTTAGGCAGTCTGTGAACTGGAAAGATATTTGAAACTTTAATCACTATTACACAATACGTGGAAGCCTGTAATAGACTTATAAAAAATGGATACAATTATTTAGTACTAATGTATGTAATGAATGATAAGGACCAGGAGACAAAATACATCCTTTTAAAAAAGGAACTTCAGTGAAGTCAAAGACAAAGATTCAGGCAGATGATCTTTAGAACTGGTCCCTGACAAGGTCTGCAGCTGGCCTTTTTTCAAAGTGCTTTTAAGGACATGGGAGTGGGAGAGATCTCTTGGATCCTTGAACCCAGGGCTCTGCCACTGCAGGCACAGGCCAAGCTTCTGTCACAGTTCAGTGTCAGGGAGGCGCTCCAGGACCAGGAGGCTGCTGCTGCAGGACTTCAAGGGGGTCTCCAGTTCCCAGACAAGGTTTATGCGTCACCAATTTACATCTTTTCTAGTAAACACTGGCGTCCACCCATCCCCAAAAGTTCCCCCTTCTTAGTCTGCACTCCTCAGTGTACCTTCACTGATAATTATCTCTTCCTCCACATCTGCCTTGCTCAGTGAAGCACAGTTAAACCAAGGTATTTGTGGTTCTTCTCATGAAACAGGTTTTCCCACATTTTTTCATATCCCGTGCTCTATGTCTGCTTGTCTCTCATTTTATCTTCATCAACACACGAATTGTTTTAGGGCTGCAGGGGAGGTTTCATCAATGACATTTAACAGAAATTATATCACCACATCTTTTCCACCTGGAAATACCCTTCTCAAAAGCTTAGCTTTGAAAGCTCCTGGCTAAACACACAGCACATTCTCAGTCTACAGTAAACTGGGTAAACTGAGTCCTTTCCATCAGCTCCAAGTGATGAGCTCCAAGCGATGAGCTCCAAGTGATGAGCTCCAAGCCCCAAGAGGAGACTAATTAGATATTAGCATGATTTGTCAAGGCAGATTTCTTAAACAAAGGCTTAATAACCAACACCCTCCCATTTCCATTTGGGGAAGTACTGAAATCATGGCCATCGAGTTCTCTTTCTGTGCTCCACAAGCCAGGAACATCAAGTTCGGTTTCACAATAATAGGCCAAACCTAAAAATCTCCAGAGGCAAAACGTGGGGAGAGGGATAGGAGACACACAGTTTATATCTTTCTTAAAATTAATTTCTCTTTTACATTGATCCAACATCTTTGGGGTTTTTTTGCTAGGCACTGCAGTGTGCAGGGTTATGCTGTGGGTAAGAACATACAATGCCCGGGCTATTAGCTGTTCCTTTAATTTCCAGCCTCTGCTTTTGACTACGGAAAATGAGCACTGGCTGCCTGGTAGAGTCTGCACCGAGAAAAAGCCATTTTCTGAGTTCAATTAGCACTGTCTGCTCACTGCTGAGAGCCCTCATCGATCACTGTTACCCTCACACAGACCAGGCTGTGGTATCACAGAGCTGCTCACAACCAGCCCCACAGCCAACTTCTCCCATTTCATTAGTCCTTTTTCCTATTTTAGCCTCTGCACTTTCTCCTAAATGCACAAACCCATTCTTGGTAATGCAAACAGCCACTTATCTCCTTATAACAATTGTTCCCCGTGTTACTTCTTGGTAAGAACTGTGTCATGAAGAAGCACCTTCTAATGTAAATGCACCTGAAAAAACCTGAAATACCCAGAGCATTGCCCAGAAACCCATGTCAGCTGTGTTCTGACAGCTGTCAATCAAATAACTCTGCTCTAGTTCCACTCAAACACCTTAGAGGAAAAAAGTCTGTTCTCTTAATGCAGACCTTGTAACGTCTACAAATTAAAATGCCATTTAATACACCTGCGACCATGATGGTCTTTTCCAGGAGCAAAAAGATATTTCAGAGCCTATGTTGCAAGAGAGCTGTTCTTTCTTCTTGGGTTTTTTTTTCCTCTCAGATCCTTTTTTCCTACTTTGTTTCAACAAAGACTTATGTTCAGACCATTAGTGCTAGCTTGTCTTAGAGATTTCTAGCAGCCACTAGCTGCAGGCAAGTTTTAAATAGACAATTATGAAAATCTGATGTAAAACAAAGTTCACAGTTCTAGTCTTTTCAGAGGCCAGAGAATAGACAATCAATGAAAAACGAGCTTATCGATCCCTTTTCACCATGATATTTTGAGGTTACACAGCAAGAAGGTATAAAGAAAAATAAAAAGATAAAGAGATAAAAACACACAGGAGATTGCCAGGAGCCTCTAAGCCATTCCCAATAGAAAAAAAAATGAAGCCATCTTATTAAAAGAGACCTTCTCTATACTTCAATAACACACTGTGTATAGCCTTTAAAACATATTAAAGAAAAAAATACAATCGAACAGATAAGCCTTGAGCACAGAAATCACTCTTTAGTACAAACCTGGGGAAATGCACTGGGGCGAACTTTGTGAAGATCCAGAAGGTCTGTGCTGCAAATCTTTCTGCTATAGGAAAAAAGACAATATTCTTACACATACAGACTAAACTTTCAGTTCAAAATGAATCAGATTTTTCCTATCCTATAGCACTGACTGTAAGTGAAGCTGTACAGTGAAAATACAAAAGATTTAACACAGCAACAGCTTCGAGTTTTTTCATGTGTCAGAAGAGTGGCATATAGACATTAACACTTTGAGTAAAAATCCCATGAAGAATAAATCAGGCTGAAATACAACTAAAAACGAAGCTATAGCTGAATTAAAGCTATGATAATCAATGTATTGAATGAAAGCAGACCTTTTATGTTGACAGTCTTCATCTACTTTTTGTTGTTGTTTAATTTACAGCAATACTGACTAAACTAACCCAGCCAGTTTCCATAAAAATTTCAAACTGCATCTTTGGTAATTCTTGCAACCTTCTTGCATATTAAAAACCATTGAGATACAATTAAATAAGTAACACAGTCTGTAACAAATGGCTTTTGGAGAGCTCCTCTTTGGGGTTCTCATTTCTGACTTCCTTCCTCACCCCCATTTTGTGCCACTCCTCCCTCGCTGCTCTCTTCAAGGGTGGTTTGTCAGGGCTCATTCAGATGTGAAACTTTGGGTGATGGTGAAGAGTCAAAATGAAAGCACCAGAGCAAGTGAATCTTTTGGTTTAAAAGGAAAATGCACAATGCCCTGAGATGTTTAAAATTATATATCAAAAACCCCACAAGAACATTTCTGCCCCCAAACGAGTTACATTCTATATCACCAATTGCTCAAAGCACTTCCTCTTACCTCTAATTGCTCAGGTCTGAGCTGCTCTGCTCTCTCTTTTCCCCCTCACAGTACTCCCTAATCTGCTATCAGTCTCTGAAATCATCAACACTTGCAGGTTAAAACAAACTAAAACTCCCTCAAGTATTATTAGTTATAAGGGGAAGGAAATGCTTTTCAAAACCAATATCAGAATAAAAGACCCTGGCTGGCAGACAGACATCTATCTGAAACCAACCTGTGACCTTACATGCAATCACAGGCACCACGGTGACACAGATTAAAAATGAACAGCTTTGCAAGGCAAAGTTCATCACAGTTCACAAATGAAATCACTTATTCTGCATTGCCCAGCTTAGAAACAACATGCAACTGTTATGCCCAAATTGCCCTCCACTCCTCAGCTCTGAGACGGCACAACCTATTAAAACACATTGGCACAAAACTCAAAGGTACCACATAATTTAATTATGTTCCCCAAAAAAGTGATGGGTTTGAGCATTCTTATAAGGGTTAGTCACAGTTCTGAGGCACAAGGTAAGTAATTTTCAGTACAGCAATAAAATGTTTCACTTTATTTTCCCTACGTACATTATCATTAATTACTATAATGACAAATTAATAACTACTCGATGTCTTGAAGATGTAGGGCAAGATTCTGTGTTGATGTAAACTAAACCACTCACATAAATTAAACCTACTATGTCAAGCCTTGTCATTATAAAAAAAGAACAAATGTTAAAGCCCACCTTGGGTCTGATGCTGCTGCATTCAGCCAGCAAACTCCTGCAGTTCTTATGGACATTCACTGCACAATCTGAAACACACACACCAAAAAAAGTCTTAATTATGCTCGTCATTCCCACTGAGGGAAAGGAAAAGTGACATGTAATGGATCTCAATTTTGAAAGAGATGCAGAGTAAGCTCAGATGTTTTGGCAAGCATCCTTGTTGTGTTTGTTGTGGTCTTGATTTTACACCAAACACTCGAGTTTTTTCAGTAAGACTAAGGATCACTGATAGTGCAAGTCGCACATGGAGGTGTACAGAGCCACTCTGGAATGCAGGAGCAGTCTTCTGCTGGACCCGCACTCAGAGCACAGCCTTCCTCATCTTTGCAAAGGCTATTTTCCCCTGTCTCTCCAGTCAAAATTGACACCATTCAAGAGGGCAGCAATTTCTTTGGCTCCATAGGAATAGCTGCCTTTCTGCATGGAGTATTGCTGGGAGCTGAGCTCCAGTAAATTAAAGATCAAAACGCAACCCCAGAATCACGAGAGCACTGCCAGCACCACAGCATTACCCCTCTTCCATTTTCACAAAGGAACCACTCCCAGATTCAGGAACCAAAGCAGCCCTCTCACTCAAAAGCCATAAACCCATTAATAGTACAGTAAAATCCGATCCCTTTTTTTCCTTGTGATAACTACTGCTTGACAAAACAGAATGGCAATTGGTCATGTCAAATATTTTCCACAGTCTTTCAGCCCATCTAATAATCAAGATCCCTCATAAAAATCAAAGCAGGACACAGCAACTCAGTAAAGGACATTAGGATTTGTGTCTTCCCATATATTTCAGGCATGCCTATTAAAAGAGAAACTGAACAAAACTGGGAAGATGAACACCATATCTGCCAGAGAAAAGCCTGTTTATGTTTAAAGTACAGAGGAAAAACTACTAAAGGTCTCTTCAGAACCATCCCCCCTGCCTGGCGCCAGGACTGGGGATCTGCTTTAAGGCTTCTGGCTGGCCTAGAGAAATGCTCACTTGTGTTTTCCATAATTTCACAAAGAGTCTGAAAACAGGCCCAAAACACTTACATGGAAATAAATTAATAAAGACATAAAAACAGGACTGAGAGAAAGACTGAGTGCACAGACCTGCAAGATGCTTACACATTATGCAACTTCCTCGAGTGTGGGAAACAAAGTGCACAGTTCTGCTCACCATAAAATTCCACAAAAAAAATCACCTCCTACAACTTTTCTCTTATTTGAGATATTCCTACCACTACCACACCCCACACCACAAGCCAAAAGGCACTTCATCTAATTTCAAATGTGCCTCTGCAAACGCATGAGAAAAATGTATCAAAATTATTCACTTGCTAAAACCATGTAGAGAATAACAAATATATTCGTTATTTCAGCATTGATAAGGCCTCCCCCTCTCACCAGGAAATGAAGAGCTTGTTAAAAGACATGCCTCAACAACAAACAAGCAATTAACAATGGAAACCACTTTTCTCCTGAGACAAAGGAACAAGCTGGACAACAAAAATCACCACACAAAAGGAAATAGAGAAAATTCTCCATGACATCAGAGTCCTGCTCACAGACAGGTTCCTTTCAGGGCAGAACATGAGGACTGCTGGAGGCAGTGTTCCTACAGCCACTGCCTTCCCATACAGTCCTGGAATCCACTGCATTTATCTAGAATTCTGTAATATAGTCATCTTTATGCATTTTATCAAACTTCAACTAGACATTCCTATTCCCTGACATTTACCTATATTCAGTGATTACATTCAGTAATTCTTTTCCTATCAAAGATTAGTGGGACCAATTCCAGTTCAAAAGCTTGAGAACCTTGTTAAGGTAACTGTAAAAGGGATCTCACTTAAAAATGGGTTTCAATTTTAAAATCACTACTTGCTCAGTTAAAGATAACAACTTAGAGCGCTCTTAGTAGGTATTTTTCACTTAATCAGCTGACATATCTAATAGTGCTGGGCATGACTTTCCTGTGCTGCAGAAAGATTCTTTACACAACAGGAGAGAACATACTGGAAAACAGGAAAGTGCTACAGAAAAGCCTCAGAAAACTGCAGCTGAGTCCAAGGACTTGATTATCCACGAGGTTATTTGAAATGCATTTACTCCATGACTTCCAAGGCGCATTATTTTTGCCCACAATTTTGAAACCTGACAAAAGAATCAGACTGTTTTACAAGCACACTTCATTTTATAAGACATGTTCCACCTTCCCCTATTCAACACACTGCTGCAATCACTGCTGAAGGAAGGACACCTCAATTCAAGATTAGAACACACTTTTGAATACTAGTGAATGTGGTTTCCTTTTTCTGCATGTAAGATCTCTATATTCTTTATTCCTATTACTCTGCATTCTTATTCAGCCTCTTCGAACAGGGTATCAGAGAACTGCACGGGTCAAGAAACAGTGAAAGGAAGAATGAGGGACAGGGGACAGTGAAGGAGTGACAGGAACCCGCACACACGGAGGCTGATGTTTAAGAATGTGAAGGCTTGTTACAGGTGTATAGAAATATCAGACCTCTAACAGGTGTATAGAAATAACAAAACTCTACCCTCTCCTGCCATCCAAAGAAAAGCAGCATCAGTAAACTCAAAACTGACAAAGAAAAATATTTTTGCATGTACCATCAGTAACTGGTAGCATTTGGTCTTATTCAGATCAAGAATTTGCGAAGGTACAAAAATTAAATGGATAGTTCTTTTGGCAAGCTCTTCCCAAACTGGAGAGGCACAAAAGGTATTCCTGAGAAAGGCAGAGAGAAAGACTCAGAGCACTGCAGCTGGGCTCTTCCCTATCTTTTCCCTCCATTACTCCCTGGAATTGCAGGAAGATTTATTTGGCAACAAAAAGCAGATTCTCTGAAGGATGACGAAAGAGCCACAGCTCCGGCCAGTGCTGAGAACACCAGGTAAAGTGCCAACACACAGAGAGGATCCAAGGATTTGAGTCACCTCGATTAGATGGGAACAGCACCACTCCTAGAGCTAAAGGTGCAAGAGCCACCGACACCTCACAGAGGGTGGGAGCCGAGCAAACCCACTGTGGTTATGTCTGGGCTTTAATCAACAGCTTTGGAATTAAGGCTGAGAATTTTGGGAGCATCACATTAGCCCAGATCTGCTTACTGCAGGGATTGTCACTCCCTCGGAAGCATTTTGCAGGGGTCAGTGCCAGCGATGACCTAATGACAGAGAAACTGAAACAGGGGCCTCAACCAGCAGTGAAATATTTAAGAGTAAAAGGCTCATAAACACCATAAAAGATCCTGTTCACGATTGAGAGTAATGAATTTAATAGCTGGAATAACCAAAAACCTTCCCTTATTAATGAGATGTTTTCCCAAAGGCTCACAGTAACTAATTTACAGCTTAGGAGTATTTTATTGGACAACACATGATAACACCCAAAAGCATCACCCCGCTCACAGTATGTAAGAGGGCACCAAAACACGGTGGAAAGGAGCAGGCAAATGCATTTTCTTCCCGAGCTGGAATACCTTCCAGGGGATCAGATACTGACAATGTCCTATAAATATCTCCCAGAACTGGATTCCAGGACAAATCTATGACTCACCAGACATTATGAGCACTATGACCCTGACCTTTGGTCTGGAGCGGTACTGCCCAATAAAATAACTCTTAAAAGGCCATTTGCAAACAACTAACACACAAACCCACTGTGATTAATCTAAAATTGAACTGCTGATTTTTTTTTCTCAAGGAATTTTTTTTGTGTGTTTTGTAAATTACAGATTAAAAAAAAACCACTTTAAAGCAGTGTAAATTCAGGCAGGGACACCTTGTAACATTTCAATGATAAAAGCAGTTCAAGCACTATTTTACTGCTATTCACCACATATTAAATCCAAGCATCAGAAGAGAGCCAAGGACAAAGAGCTGCCTTGTGAAATTAATAATTTTCCTGTTTTCAAGTGTCCAATGCTTCAGGGATCAAAGAGAACCTCTTTCCTCTTTCTTCACCCTTACACCACATAAGGAACTCCTCCCTCTTGAACTGACAAAAGAAACAACCTGCACATCAATGATTAATCCAGAATACAAAATCTGACTCTATACCCAGAGATACACAAGACAGCAGCTGAGAAACATTTTGAACCGCTACTGCATTCCAGAATAAGCAGAGGCACTTTGTGATAGATCTCCTCAGGAAAGAGGAGGAGTCTCAGTGGACCATAGGAAGTTTCTGTGCTGGGTAAATTCAGGTCAGGTTTCTTTAGGAACTCGGAGCAGATTTAACTTTGTCCTAGTGGTTCTGGTGGTCAATGTTTACTTGTCTTCTCATCTGCTTAATTACGCAGAGGCAGAAACCAAAAGCTGGAAGGGTGCAGGGAGATGAGATACTTCACATTCTGAAATAGAGACACTCCACGCCAGAGAGCAACAGCACTAAATTATCAAGTTTCAGCCTCTCTCTTAGAGCATTCCTCTTTGTCTCCAAAACAACCTATAATTACTTTCTCACTGTATCTGGTTTTATTGTCAAAATATCAGCAAAACAAATCAGGGAGAGGGGTTGTGTTATTCCTAACACTGCAAGTTCTGGTGGCCAAGGGGTTTTCTTTACAAAAACACATAAACAACTGATGTTTCTGTTTTTCAAACGACACCAAGTAAAATTTCCATATTATCCTAAAGAAAGACAAGTCCCAATTCGATTCTCTCATGCTGAAGCCTTCCCCCATTGTAAGAAACGCTACAGAACTGAAGCAGCAACTATGACAATCATAAAAGGTATTTAAAATATTTCATAGGTAAACAGGAGGTGGAACTACAACACACAATGTCCGATGGCTCCTGTTTGAGAACCATGTTTCTTTTTTTTTTTTTTACCATGTCAAAGAGAAACTACCAAACTACCACTTGTAATTTCATAAATTTAAACAAAAAGTGCCAATTAAAAAAGGCACCCACAGAACTCTCTAAAGAGGGGAGTGAGAAGGAACTGAGAAGCAGCCATTTCTCCTCTTGGTTTTACATAGATGACACACAAAATCTTCAAACAATATTCAGAAAT